CACCTAAAGAATATAGGACAGGATCCAAAGTGTTAGAAAAAAGCCAGGTGGTTTATTCTTCATTAGCCCAGTATTTAAGTTTTCCCTTTAATGGAGAGATCCATTTTCTTTTTCTTCAAGAAGCAAACAAGACCACAAATAGTGATTCAAGTAATTTATCTCCCCTTCCCCACATACCCCCTGCCCATGTCAACCAAAGATCTTACTACACTAGACTAAGTGTCAATCTAATAATGGCCTCTTGGTGATTGTTGTTTTGCACCACAGACAGGTGGGTTTCTAGGCCAAAATAGTGCTTTATTGATCTAAAAATGGGAAGTCTGAGGCAGTCTTACAGTCATCAAATCTGTATGCATGCCAGCATCTTTATTTCTTAAATGTATGTCTTGTTTTAGATATTGTAGAAATATTGGGTCAGTAACTCCCAGTATATTTCCCAAGCCATTTGTCTGGAGGAGAATATAGATGTTATTTAACCATCCAAACACGGTTTATTTGGAAAAGGAGAGGCTTCTAGAATGCATTTCTTAAGGTATCCAGTAAAAGGTCTAATTTTCTTCCAGTAGTTTAAATTTCTTAATTGAGCCAAGGTGCTCATGTTTATCAGTCTGGTTTCAGAACCCTGTCTAAATCGTAGAATTACATAGAGATAAAAGCTGTCATAAAAAAGTAGTTAGAAATCTTTCCAGTCTCAGGGTGGACTATACAGTCAGCATCCCAGAGTTCTGCTCCATACTATATAATGGACTCTGCCTTGGATCTATAGAACTTCAGTGCTTTCAGAACTGTTCTTCTGCATGTCTTATTGTAAAAAGAACTCTATAGGGTCAGTACGCCAAAGATTTTTTGCTCTACTTACATTTTCAGTGTACTTATTCCAGCTCAGATTTTTACTAAAATAGATTCAAAGGTGTATAAAGATGACATCGTCACCTTTTGTTTATTTTCCTGTAGAAATCAAATTAATTTCCTCCTTTCATTCCCCAAAACCCAATAGCTTGGTTTTAGCTATGTTGATTTCCAAGCTGTTTAAGGTGCAGCATTGCTGAAAAGCACCCAGATTTGGAGACCTATTTAGGATAGTGACATTATTAAGGTATCATCTGCATAAAGCAAGACAGGGATAGTCATTCAAAACCATAGGTTCATAGAATTGATTCCCTGTTAGCACCTGTTTTAGATCATTCATAAATAAATTAAAAAGTTTGGGAACAGCACACACCAACTGCTGAAACTTCTTTAGCCTGACAAAGGGTTTTTGAACCTGAAACCTTGCTTAAAAATTGTTTTCCAACTATTTAAGTTGGTCTAATAAAAGATATCAGATTCACCCAAAGAACCTTGTCTGCCTTAAGTGTCTTAAAGCACTTGTTATTCGGTTTAAAGTTACGCCACTCCAGGGCAGGATTATTTCTAGTCAGCCTAATTTTGCTCTTCTTTCATTAAGGTATGGTCACCCCATAGAGCTATTCTACCGAAGATGAAGTCCTCCAGCATCCCAGGATGTAGTGGCCTCTTCTCAATCAGAATCACCCCTGTCAAAGCCAAGTCAGTCAAGTTTTTGTTTAACTACCATTAAACATTTTCAAGAGTGGAAGTTCCACAGCCTCCCTAGGTATCCATCCCAGTGCTTAACCACCCTGCTAATTTAAAAAGTTCCTCCTAATATCCAGCCAAACAGTGTACAGGTCATCCTTGGGCATATGGATATTGAACAATTTTAAATATGCGCACAATATGTGTATTAAGGGATGAAGAGTACCCTAAGTAATACGAATTACTGAGATATAATAATAAAATATTTTCATTCCATTCAGGAAGAGCATAAAACCAACTGCAGAAACTTACTCAGCCTGATGAAGGGTTTTTAAACCCAAAAACTTGCTTGAAATAAAAGGTGTCCAAGACCAGGCCTGGAAGCTGCTTGAATCTCTTGCTAACATCAACACTAAAATTGGCCTTAGGAAGGCAACTGAGAGGCTGACAAAACCTGCTACGGAACAGTGGTGAGTGCTCTCCTGACCAACCTCAGTCATGCTCCAAGCCCTCTAAGCCACTCCTGGGTGAGATTGTCCCCCAAAGAACATCATTCCCATAGGCCTCTCAGCTGGCATGGGAGCCCTGCTTCTAGCCCATGGGTGGGTAAAAAAAGGCCTGCGGGCTGGATCCAGACTGACAGACCATTCTATCCTGCCTGCGGGGCTCCTAAAAAATTTAGAAAATTAATATTTATCTGTTCCTGGCTTTCTGTCAAAAATGACAGGAGCCAGGGGTATTAGGACCCAGGGGGAGCCTCACCAGGAGGCAGCAGCCCAGCCCTGCTCCACCCCCAGGCCATTTACCTGCCTTCTTGCCTCACACTGCTCCGGCACTGGGTAGCTCCAGGCTGCATTGCTCAACTGGGGAGCCCAGAGCCTGCACTGGTACCCTGGGGGTGTGTATGTGTGTGTTCATAGGGTGAGTCCCACATGCACACTGCACAATACACATGCACCCACACACCCCCTTGCACTGCCATACATGCAGACCCCCACACCCACAGCACCTCACACACTCCAGCCACTCTCCCCCCACACACAACCCCACACAAACCCCATACCCACCCACATATCCACACCCCCCACATGTTACCTCACCCCACACCAACACCCATACCCCCACCCCATCCACTCCCCCACAGACACACCCATACCCACACCCACTCATGCCCCACATAACCACACACCCAAAGCCCCCCCACAAACCTATACCCCCCCAAAAATATACAAAAGTAAGATTTCATTTTAAGCAATTATATACAATCACCTTTATGTGCACTACACAAACACATGTAAACCAGGACAAAAAGATTTTTTAAATCAGTTTAATGAATGTTTTAGATGTTTGCTTTTTAGAATATAATTTAGTATTTTCCTAGTTCTGAGATGACAACACCCCTTGTTGAAAGGAGTACTTCTGGGGGCAAGGGGAGGGACTTCTAGTGGCAAAGGTTAGGGGACAGGACATCCCATCACATGATGGCAACAAGGGGGTGGGGCTACCCAGGCAGCCCTCGATAGCTTGTCAAAACTGGGTAAGTGGCCCTCCTCCTGAAATAATTGCCTGCCCCTGCCCTAGCCCTTGGGACTGGAGGCAGATCAGTGGCATAGATGGAGCACACTGCGCTGTAGATCTTTGCTGTCTGGGGCCACCAGAGCAGCCCTGAAACTGCCCAAAGTGATCTTATGACTGGACCAGGCTCAAAGATGAGGAAACGCAAGTTGGCTTGAAAATAAGGGGACATCACATGCTTCATGAGGGGTGTATGACCCTTGCTGGGCACTCCTGGAGTTTAGCTGTGGAGGCTGTGTTCTGGCTATGGATGGAGGTGGGAAGCTTGAAGGCTACAGTGGGTTGAGGGAAGTTTTGATAGAGGATAGGGCAGAATGGGATTTGTCCTAAAGCAGGAAGTTCAGTCTTTAGGCTGTCCTGCTTCCCAGAAATGCAGCTCTGACCTTCTCTCCCTGTCTAGTCCTTTCCACTGAAGAAATTAGCCACCAGAGGGACAAGCTATAGAAGCTGCATTCCCAGGCATGGAAGCTGTAGCCCATTGTTCCAAGCAGGGAGGGAACAAGCACCAAGATGTAGGGGGAGGTGACTGCAGTCAAATGCTGAAAAAGTGAATCATGTGGAAGTAGCACATGGGAAAAGGCAGACAAGCTGCATAGCTCATCATCACTGCCAAAACCAGTAGCTGAGCAGACATGGGACAACATAAATTCACACAGCTGCTTGGGGCTCACATTGTTCCCTTGGACAAGGGCCATGAAGTGGTAGTGAACAAGGAGGAGGTAGCAGGTGATGAAACCCTGGGGAAAAAATAACATTATCAGGGATATACAAAAATCAAATTGCAGAGAGGACTGTGAGGATGTCAGGAGCCACCTATGAATGAGTACAGAAGAACATCAACTGTGATATGGCCGTTTACCAGTTCCATGTTGCCAACTCCATGACACAGCAGCAGCAATCCCAGCAGCTCCTCACTTTATATGACCTCAAGTCCCCATGGATCTGTGCTACAATGCAGCAGGCACTGGCCATGGAAGAGGAGGATGTTCTAGAAGTGTCCGACAGGAGGGCTGGCCACCCTCATCACCAACTTGCTAAAAATATTAGCCCCCACATATTGGGGGTAGAGTCAGGCTGGACCTCTGGAATAAGAAATGGAAGGTAAAAGGATAGGAAGGACAAGCTCGCCACAGGCAGCTGGAAAAAACAGCTGGAAGAGGCAGCTGTGAGACCAGATTGGTGGCTCACATGGGCTGATGGAGCTCCAGGATGAACAGAGGTCTCCCATTTCCCCTCACCTCTCTTGGTGCCTCTTGGAAGTAGACCTCCTGCCAGTGCCCTGGCCAAACACACCCCTTTGGCAGCTGCCCCTACTATGGATCTTTATCAGGTAGGCCCAGGAGCATCTGTTGCAACCCATGGAATATTTTTCTAAGGTGAAAAACTTAACTAAGAAGTGATTGCATAATAATGGGAATGCAATCTACGCCATCAACTGTGGCTTCCAGTAATGATGTTCTATTGTTTCTTTACAGGATCACAGTGTACTTAATCTACCTTTTCCTGGATTTTGTTAATAAATTTAAAGATAGCAATGCTAATGTGTCATCATAATTTCCCTAAACCTTGCTAAAAAGCCCACTCCTTTTTGACAAACATAATGCAAATAACTATTATACAACCTCCTACATTTTAGACCAATGAAAATGTGTGTATATGTATCCATGTACACATGTATTATTCTGTAGGCTGATTTTGGGTGGATTATATGTTTTTAAATATCTAATTGTATACATAGGAATTACTAGCAGAAAACCAAGGTCATCTCAAAGGTTGTCATGGATAGGCAAGTTTTTGGAAAGATGCAATAGTAAAGCAGATCTTTGCATCTAAAATTAAACTTTAACTAAAATAAACAAAACCTCTGATCTTGTTTTAAAGGTCTGCTCGGAAATCACGGTGACTGAACAAGTGACTTTGCAACTAGCTATCTTATAATCATCTGGCAAGCAAACTGTTTAGTTTTGGCATCAGTATATGTGGTGCAGCACGGTAAGCTTTTGCTTCTTTTCAGTTAATTAACCTGTATTCTGTGCCTAATTTGTATACTGCATTGAGAAATTTCACTATATATTTTTGGAGATATTCTAAGTGATATACTCTTGATATGTCACATACTCTGGATAACAGATCAGAACTTCTACCTGCATACAAGTAAGGAATGAATCAAGTACCATGGGAAGAGTTTCTGGAGAGTTTTGTCTCTTTTTGAATTTAGCCTGGGATTAACAGCTCAAGAAAAGAAAGTAATTCTCGGCATTTCTCTGCTACTAAGTAAATGGCAAGATGCCTAATGCCTGTCCCCAATTTTTTACTCTGTCAAATCTGGATTATACATTTTTAAAAAAAATCCCTCCCATGGACATTTAGTCATTGGAGCTTTGTATCAGTTTTAATCTTATATCTGTACAAATAAATGCTTTTAAAAACCTAATTGAAAATATTTTTGTTTACATGGCAAAATGAAAATAAAAAAACCCCAAAAATATTTTGGGTTGACTGCAATATTTTTTATCCAAAATGAACAAAAAAAAATTAATAAAAATAATTTTTCAGCCACAATTATTTGACAGAATTGACTCATTTGAAAATAATTTGTTTTGAATTTAAATGGTATTTTTAATGAAAAATACAATTAATCTGAAATATTTTGTCCAGATTAAGTAAATCTTATTTCCTCAAAACTATTCTATAATATGATCATCCAGCAAGTCCATGTTGAGTAGTCTCTAGGATTAGAAACAGCCAGCATTTTCCTGGGTTTTTTTGTAATAGTCCCATACAGCAATAGCACCATACAGAAAAGTATACAAACACACAGTTAATTTAAGTGTAGTGTGTGAATAGTCTCACTGAAGTATTATGGTCAGAGTGTAGCTGATACTGGTTGGTTAATGATAATGTTCTATTGTTTTTATGCTTTAATTGAACCAGACTTTGTCTGAGCTTGTCATCCTTACACAAAATTCCTATCAGGAACACCTCTAAATAAGGACCATAGAACCAAGTTGTTATTGATCAGGTATATAGATATTTAGAGGATATTTTCTTAATCAAAAAAAATGTGTGCTATTTTGGACTCAGTTCTGTTCCAATTCAAGTAAATGGCAACATGCAGATTGATTTCCATAGGGCAAGATTTGTCCTTAAATTTTGAACAAATATATCGTATGCCCAGTAATTAATCTGGAATGTGTCCAAATAGTTGCATTATGTTGCATTTTACCAAATCAAAATAATTGTTCATACATTATTAAGAAGATATGAACACAGAAATATGTATGTTATAATTTGTGGTGGTCTTGTGCTATATATTAATTTTCTACAGCTGAACACTGTTAAACTATGGGAAGTACTATTTTAATCTACTTCATTCTGCTGTGCATTACAATTGAGAGCAGCCATGGATGCAACTGTGACCGTTATCCATGGAGCTCATGGTCCAGCTGTTCAAAAACTTGCAATTCTGGAACACAGAGCAGGCGTAGGTATGTGTGAAGCGTCTCATTGCTTTTCCTTATTAATTTTTCTGTTACATATCAACTATTAGGAAAGTATTACTTCAGGGTTGGGACATCTAAAAATACCTGAGGATTTCCAGTGCACAGTGCAAAAAGAATTACTTCTTTTTTGGGAAGTTCTTGTTTCCATAATTTACAAGGAAAAAGAACAAATTCCCTCTAAGAACATTTGGATAATGAATAAATTTGAAAAGTTGACAATCTTACCAAAAAGTGCATTAAAAAGACTCAGAAAAAAAAAATTAAAAAAGAATTAAGATGGCTTCAAATCAGGGGCGGGCAATTATTTTGGGCAGAGGGCTGTTTACTGAGTTTTGGCAAGCCATCGAGGGCTGCATGACAGGCAGCCAGGGGCAGATAAATAATCATTTTCTAATTTTTTTTAGGGGCCCTGCAGGCCAGATAGAATGGCTTGGCAGACCGCATCTGGCCCACAAGCCGCATTTTGCCCACCCCTGCTCCAAATCAATCCATAGCCTAATATTAATTTATACTGGCAGTGATGGGCTCAATCTATGTGCTGATCCTGCAAGCAGTGTATATTTGAATGATCCATCCATTCATACCAATTCAGGGGTGATGTGGTAAGCTCCATAGACTAGGACCCTTTATGCTGGAGTTAGGTCAGGGCAGTGCAGTGCCTCTGAAAAGTATAAGGAAGGCAAACTGGGCAGGTTCAGAATAAGTTCCTGCTATAGCAGTGGTCTCCAACCTTTTTAAGTAGGATATCGCCTTTGGCATTAAAAGTAACCTGAGATCTACCACCAGCCCCACCTCCCACCCCTGCTGACCAGCAGCTAGATCTGTGGGGAGAGAAGGAAGGGGACAGACTGAGGCAGAGGGAGAAAAAATTATTTGGGGGTGTGCCTCCCCAGCAGGTAAGTCCCACCTGGCCAGAGGCCCACTCAGTTTACCCCTGCTCTTGCCTCTGCAACACTGTCCCTCACTGTGGGGACCTCGATCTTGCCCCTGCTCCTTCCCTCCCCCACAGACTGACCTGCTGGGCTGGGGCATGTGCATGCACTCAGGCACTTAGCCCCCCACCCCAGCCTCGGGTCGACTCCAAGAGACTCCGAGATCAACCAGTGAATCGAGATCCACTGGTTGGTGACCACTGTACTATAGTGTATTCTACACCAGTGCTTTAAGGTAAATCTTTTTCAACATTAAGCAGCAAACAGCTGGGGCAGCATATCATAGAATAGGATTCTCTTCTTTCTTTACTTCCCAGAAGTTGCATCTTTTGAAATAATGGTTTGAACCACAAAATCTCAGGCTGCTGAGGGACATTCATTTAAAGGTGTGATGGGATCTGATCCCTGAACCCAACAATCACACCTCCTGCCATGCCACACAGTTTTGGGATGGGATCAGGTCCCAATTGCTTCATGCTTGCCAGTGCAGAGGGAGCCTAAAATCATGATCTACTGATCATCACTTGGATCAGGACCCACTGGGGCTTGAACCAGCCTAGTGGGTCCCCAAAGCCTGCTGACAATCAATCAGTTGCTGGCTGGATCTGGGACTGCACTGGGGCTTCAACTAGCCCCAGTATGGAACCTGCCGGCTAATGATCAGCTGATCATTGGCTAGCTCCAGGACAACACTGGGTCTCCAACCACTGATTGTTGGCCAGTGGGGACTGCACTGGTGCCAATCTGAGCCCCTGGTGTGTTTCACCCTGCTACACACTCAATTTAAGGTATGATGAAACCAGCCAAAGAATTATTATGCATAATTTGTGGAATAATTTTGTGGCTTATTTCCTGTTTATTGAACCATTAAGTGTGTGGCTGGGTTACTATTTAAAATGCAATTAACTGGTTAATCACTTCTTTAGTGTCACAACTGCCAGGGTTCTCAGATGGATGTGGCATTCAACCCAAATTTAAAGTAAGTTAACGGTAGGTCCCATCTTTGAAGCATGTGCCCATTTTTTCTCTGGCCTATAAGTAACTTTCCCGCTTTTATATTTTAGGCAACTAAATATGGATGAGTATTATAGAAAAAACTTTTGTGACCAACTATGTGCAAAGGAGGAATCCCAGGCATGTAACCAGCAGGCATGTCCTATCAACTGCCAGATTGGAGACTTTGGACCTTGGTCAGAATGTGACCCATGTGTTAAAAAACAAGTAGGTAGAAAATAAATTAGATGGGTGATTACAAGGAAATACGGAGGATGATTTATCTGTGGTTCAGATGCTGAAACATGAGCACTGAACCAAAAGGAAATTGATTTGCATCAGGAGCAATCTTTTATAAATTAGCATTAGGGGAAGAATTGGAGAATACCGACTTAGAAAAATAGATCACAACAGAAAGAAGAAATTTTTGGATACCACAAATCACGCTTACACTTTTCCTGTCTTTTGTATGAGCATATCTATGACATATGTACCAGCTTCCCTTGCCAAGGGGCAGTGCCACTATGAGAAATGAGTCTTCCATGGAGAAGGTCTTTTCAAGTTTACAGGTCCTTCTGGGTCCCCAAAAGTGACAGTACATCATACATATTCCACAGTATGTTTCCCTACATTTGTAGGGTGTACAAACCACATTATAATGGTGGGCTCAGATCTCAAATTGTACTGGAAAGTTAAGAAGAGTCAAAATGACTCCAAGTACTGCCATGGCTGGCAGGGAAAATTAAGATTGCTTCTTTCAACATTAATTCTAACTCTACTTCCCTGACCAGAACTTAGGTATCTTGTGAATCCCATTATGCACTTGTCTGTATCTTTAGGTACTAAAACACCCCAAAAGTTTTGGCTTGCCTTGTCAGGAAGTGCTGCTAGAGTGGAGCAGGAGTGCACAAAGAAGCATGAGGTGGCTGGCTCATTTCATGGATACCACAGCCTACATGAAATTTCCCTCCTGGGGGCAGATTACTTATCTAGCTTTTAAGCTTTGCTTTAAAGCATCTGGTCTGGTGGCTGCTTGGGACAGCACCTGGGACTTAAGTCTGATTTAGTATGAAAATTCTTATAGTCAAGGGAAGGTAAAATGTCTCCATTCTTGGGTACTCATGTTTCCTGCCGTTCTTCAGTCTGCAAAATATTGCCTTCCAGTAGGATATACTGGGAAATGTGGGGAGTCAACCAGCATTGAACTTTCACAGGAAGACGATTTACTCCAAGTCTGGTCACCATTCCCATTTTTCTTCTCATCTGTACACTATTATACAGATAAGCAGTCTGCACAGTTATTGGTTCAGGAGTCCCCACACAATAAGCACAATGCCTCTTCAGATAAAAAATGGGAACATGGATGAAATCCTGTGTCTGGCACTGGCTGTCTGGCTGGTCATGCTGCAGCTCAGCTCATTGAAATCTGTTTGCAGAAGTTGCCATCAGATTACACTTTCTGGCCTCTAGCAGCTGGCAGAAAGAGGGGCTACAAGAACTGAAAACTGAGCAGAAAAGCACTGCAACAACCCACAAACAAACTGCAGGGATGTAAGTGAACACTTGCACATAGGTAAACTGTTGACCTCCTTTGTTTGCTCTTTTTCGCCATTAGAAAGCTATAGATGAAATGCTCCTCCATTTTTACTAACTGCACACTTTATTGTGCCTAGTAAAAAAAAATTGCTTGCACTGATCATCTCCATGCTCCATGTTCCATCTTCATAAAAACTCCTCTCCAGCCTCATGTAAAGCTCTTTGTGGCTTTGGTGGAGTTGCTGTGGAAGGATGCAAGTGGATTCAGGTTCAGCCTTTGACAGCAGGAAGAATAGTGGCAAACAAGCCGTGGGAGGAACATGGGAACAATCTACTTAGAAAAGGGACAGCTGAGTCATATGAAGATGTGATGCCTTTCAAAATTATTATGTTAGGAAGGGGGCTGTCATATATATATAGTCACTTTTATGTTGGACAGAGTGAGACTGGCACAGTCTGCCTTCATAAATCTGCATGCCGAGTTTTGAATTAGTGAGAAAGATCCAAGTAAATCCCAATAGTTTTCTGGAATCTCAACCTCTTCTTAAATCTGTTCTCTGTCTAGTGACCTGAAGCTTTCAAGGTGAGGATCACCCAGTACTAAAAATGAACCAAAACATAAAATTTAGCTTTTCGGGGACATATGTGACACTGTGACAGATCTGTTAAAATTATATACATGTTCTAAGAGGTGAACAGAGGAGATCCCCTACCAGCAATGCACCTTGATTTGAGAATGAAAATAGATGCTGCCCTCATACTAGTTCGGGTAAAAGGAAAAAAAAAAGACCTGTTTTCAGAATGTTTTTGGCCCAGCCTACCAAATACACAAGGGAAGCATCGAGTAAAATATGCAAATGAACTTTTGGATCCTCATCTGATCCAGCTCAAACCACAAAATATCTTGAGGTTCTCCCCTTGCACAATAGCTAAAAGCAAGGTGGTTTGAAATAGTATGGCTTGAGACAACTTTCATAACCCTTATGGAAAGTATTTGTTCCTGATTTTGAACATCTGGAAGTAAATTCAATCCAATCTCAGAAACTCAGTTTTTTTGCCTTACCCCAGATCCAGGTTATGCTTTGACTTGAATTATTGGGGATGTACATCCTTATCCCTGGATTCTGTGGGAGCATCAGACATTTAGCTGCACTCAGCTGTGTATGTCTCTTCCTGTTGCTTACTAGCGCTCCCCAGAACAAGTAGCACATAAATGCCCCCATTTTTGTCTGCTTTCAGTTTCGGACAAGGTCTCTGCTACACCCATCTCAGTTTGGGGGCCAGCCCTGTACTGAGCCGTTGGTGGATTCCCGGAGATGCTTCCCAACGAAACTTTGCAACATTGAGGAAGTTGACTGCAGAAACAAGTTCCAGTGTGAAAACGGTAATATTCTTCTTAGCTCCATAACTGCTAATTTACACATACACCCAAAACATTAAAAATAGTAGACCACTTATCTGAAAAATAACATTGATATACTCTGTGTATCCTATGTATTTATGTGCACTTTTATTGGTGGAGAAGAGAAGGGAGAGAACAGCTCACCAAGCTATTTGTGTATAAAATAGAAACTTCTATGTTAGTGCGTCTTCCGCCTGTTTTCATTGTTGTTGCAATAAGCTGCAAAAAGCCAGGGCACCTTTTGTCCCAGAATATCTGGTGAGATCTCTGTTTGTCTAATGAAGAACACAGTGCTCTAGTACGAGTTTTGTGGATATAGAACACAAAGTCCTAGTAGGAGGAGTTTCTTTGTTCGAGCCTATATTTAAAGATTTAAGCTTTGTTTGAATATAATTTTGCTTCATTTTTACTAAACCTGTGCAAAGGGTTAAAGGTAGCTTATTTAGCTTGATGTTTAACTAAAATGAGCTCAATTTAAAGCAAAGTAAGTTCATCCACATAAGGTTTACCAAAATCTTAAGTTAAACCAGTGCAACTGGGCATAAATACAAGCCACAAGAATATAGTAAATGCATGAAAATGCTTGTTGCCATTTCTCTGAAACAGGTCGCTGCATTGTCAAAAGTCTAGAATGCAATGGAGAAAATGATTGTGGTGACAACTCAGATGAAAGGAACTGCAGGCGGATAAAGACTGTGTGCAACAGGAGATACGACAGCATCCCCAGTGTGCAGTTAATGGGCAATGGGTACGCTGCTTTTGCTTGAGTTTTTGTAGATCACTTAATTTTATCTCATTAACTCTTATATAGCTGAGATAGCTACTGTAGTGATACACTAGTGATTCCAGCTGGATCAAATACGTGATGGCTTTTTTGTTAAAAGTTTAGAGAAATTATAAGAACTTGGCTGCTAAGGCATGCCCTTTCCCCCTATATAGAATAAAATAGAGAGCACTTCCAGAAGCCTTGGGCTTCCACCTGTCCCTCTCAGCAGTGAGAGCTCACACATCAGAAATTTGTCAGGTATATGATGTCTTGGCCATGCTTTGAGATGGAAAATGTCCCCAGAATTTATTGTTCTGCTTTATCTTTATATTTTTTTGGTTAGACTCCTATCCCACCTTAAATATTTTAGGATTGTTTTTGGTAGCTACTGGGTGTTCAGAAGTGTGAAACTCCACTTTTATGCCATAAAGCACTTCTAAAACAAAATCAGATCAGAAGGCTGTGAATGTGTCAGAGGGAACATGTACAGCCTCTTCAGGTATTTTCAGCCCAAGGTGTTCTGGCAACACCATGAAGAATGTTGCAAGATCCTGGATTGACAGGGATAGATAACCATGGGTGTTTATATATGTGCTCCGAGAGATTGGTGGGGTGTGGGGGGAGGGACTACTTTAATTAGAGCAGCTCCAAGAGCTGCTCTAATTAAAGCGCCTGGAGCGTCATGTATATCAGCATCCCCACACTGAAAAATGGCAGGGATACTGATCAAATGAGCTTTAGTTAAAGCAGCCCTGCTGCCTTTTTTCAGCATAGGGACACTGATACACGTGACACTGGAGTCTGCTGGAGCACGGTAATTACCATGCCCCAGTAAGCTCAGTTAATTCAGTCTGCTCCTATGTGATGTAATTACAATGCATCAGAGCAGCCTCACTGCACATCTATTGGTGCCCCATAATAGTAAAGCTGCATTTTGACATACATTCATGAATTAAGGGATCCTTTGAAACAAGTAACATAAAATTGGGTCAGATCCTTAGCATAGACCTGTATTCAGGGGAGGTGTGACAGGCCAATGGCACATAGTATGCTCTAAGAGTTGCACAACTCCTGCCTCCTCTGATCCATTGGGTGCCCTTCCCTACTGCTCTTCTGTCATGCCTTGATGTTGTTCCAGTCAAAAGGTTGGGAGGCTGCCCCAAGGCCCAGGAGGAGTCCAGTCCACTACCAATCTGCCTTTATTCAATCCATTGTGGCCTTTCTGGCTCTACTGGTGCCCTAGGACACCATATGCCTTATGGGCTGTCTTTTTTATAGGGCCTCTGCTTGCCCCTATAGCCATGCCTATGCCTTGCAGATGATACACAATACCTTGTCAGAGAGGTTACCCAACTCCACTGCAACAGTTGTCCTTCTCAGGCCTTAACACTTTTGCAGTGGCTTTGGCCTTCCTGACTTTGGCCCCTTGTTTTTCCTAGCAGTAGCCCTCTTAGCCTAGTACCTTGGCTTCTGGGTTGCAGCTCTAATCTCACCCCTTTTTGGGGCTCTGGGCTTTGGGCCCCCTCTGGCCCTTTTTTCACCCTTCTCATGTTCTGGGTCCCCTTTATCCTCCCTCTTCATCCCTATCAGGCTCCAACTGTGGTCCTCCCAGATTCAGGCCACCTCTATTGCCCCTCTTGGACTTGAGCTTTGGCCCTCTTGGCCTCAAGATGCTTATGCCTTGTGCCCTGTCCCTGGCAGGGCTCTAAACCTCAGGGTGCTCCTCAGTCACTCCCCTGTGGCCTCATCTTCATTCCTTACAGCCACACCTATTCTGCTGGTTAAAAACTAGAAAAAAGAAGGCAAGCTAATGATTTAACAAAAACCTCCCCCACCCTGGGTAAACAAACATTTGAGTAGCTCTCGTCCCCTGGGGCTCTCGCCTCTCTGCCTTTGTAGTGCTTTGGGGGCTGCTGGAGGATTCTCATGCAGGTGCTGTCTCCAGAGACCTCAGCTCCTTGCAAGGCGCCTTCCTCCTCCCATTTGCCCCCAGGCATCTGACTTTTCTGCCCCAGAAGCGCTGCCCTGCCTGAGTCAGGTGACTTACTAGCCCACACAGATGTTCCTCATTGTCTCTAATAGGTAACGTACCCTTGCACAGCATGCAGCCCGTGCCTCTGCTAGCCTGCTGTGTTTTCCCTATTTTTCGTAACAGGAGCCTTTGGCTCCCTGTTACAGGAGGATCTGGAGGGGGTTCAGTGGTATGGTCACACCCGCTCCCAAAGTTTAGCTCACCTGCCAGTAGCTTTAGTTACCTGCAGCCCTGACACCTGGGTCTCCTGAAGAGTGTGACGTGGGGCTGGAGCCTTGCCTTGGCCTGGGACACCTGTGGGAAGCAAGTAAAGAAGTGGGGGGGAATCTGCTTACTGCTACTACTGATCTGGGGGTTGGGGAAACCCCAGGAATGCCCCTGCTCTCCTCCAGATGGGAGCTATAAGGAGCTGTTGCATGGGTTGCTGGGCTGGAGGAGCAGCAGTGGGAAGGTCCCTGCTCCCTCCTCTCCACTCCATTTTCTATGTTGTCCTAGTGACTCCAGTGGCAGGGAGCAGCGATGTGGGGTGCCAGCCAGGGATAGTGGTGGTGGTTAGTCTTTGCTTCCAGTATCTGCTCCTGGCCAGCAAGAGATACCTAGGTTGGGACTGGGTAGGGGGCAGGAGTGCCTGAAAGGTGGAGAGGACCCATCTATCAGTGCTGTCCCCGTCCAAACCTGGCACCCCACTGCTGCTAAAGAAAGCCCCCAGCTAGTGCAGGGCAGGAGATGGCATGGTACAGTCTGTCCAATTGGGTTTGGGGGAGGTGAAAGAGTGGGCTGCATCACCTCTACCATGCTGGTAACATGTCCCACACCCTCTTTTTGGGATTCCTAGATATGCCCAAACCTGCATTATCCTCAGTGCAGTTGCATGTACTTAAATTAGCTAGAATCTCACCCTGTATATTTTTTCTGTGACTGTTTGATTTATTTCTGGAATGTAATGTCTCTCTAGATATAACCTTTTGGCAGGAGAAAGCTGTGGAGAAGTCCTTGGTAACTCATTCTACGGGGGCAAATGCACTACAGTAAAAAGCAGTGACACCAGGAAATTATTCCGTGTTCCTGCAAATATTGAGACTGTCAGCTTTCAGGTACTACATGAGTAGTAAAGCCATCAAACTGTGCCACTTACTTGAGACCTTCTTTCAATGGTCATAATCCACGTTATGCTCATGAGACTTTTAAACTCTGATGTGCTTTTTAGATCATGATGTAAAAAAAAAAGGATTATATAATTGCCACATACATGTTTGAAGGGCCTTGTTGAACCCAGTTAGAGCTCTGCAAACAGGAAAAGGACAAAGGCAGGATACCAAAGAGATCAGTTCAGTGGATGAGATATATTTTTGTCAAAAGTGCAGGGGATGGGAGGAGGGGGGAGTTAGCAATGATATAAAAAGAGTGATTAATCCAAAAACAGACATCCAAGGGTGCTATGAAAATGGTTTAATTGTATCACATTTAGATGATTTGTAGGTTGAGTGGCCCTCTGAGATCAAATGTAGAATAGGGGAAGCAATGTGGTTTGCTCCCTTTCTCTGCAAAGCTATCTTGGTGACAAGGCTTTCATATGTACTTGACATCCACCAATAGAAGGGTAGAGCAGACTTCAGAAGGCTAGAGACATCTGCTAACTCAGGGGTGGACAATTATTTGGGCTGGCAGGCCCCTTAAGGAGTTTTGGTGAGCTCTTGAGGGCCAGGGGGAGAGAGCTGATCTGGTCTTGCCCCCCTTACCCCCCCCCATCATGGCTGTTTATACCACCCAGTGCAGCAGGGGGGTGGGGGTGAGGGGGAGGTGGGAGACACTAGTTTATCCTATCTGGCCTCATTCACCCTACACCCACCACCAGGGGTGCCAGATGGAGTAGGTGGGCAGGATCCCTATGGAGAACAGACACTCCCTGCCTGCTCCATCTGGCGCACCCTTGGAAGCAGGTGGAGGCAGATAGACTGGGATGCCTGAGCAGAAGGGCCAGGTCCAGTAGTAGCAGGAGATACATTGGCAGTGGCAGCCAGAGTGTGAGGGCAATAGTGAGCTGCTGACATGAGGGCTGCCAGGAAGCTGAGTCCGGCCACCATGCTGCCCCTGCCCCAGTCCTACACCACTCAGCCACAGACTACAGCTCCTGGCATGCATGAGAGGTAGATGTTCATATTGAAGGTGACAAGACAGTGTTATGTCCAGTAGTTATCAAGTAGAACATCCTCCATTCTCTCTTCTGTGCTTTGAGGGCAAGACATTTTGCCTCAAAACTGGCTGCTGCTAGGTTGAGGTTGTGGCACTATTGGGGTTGCTTAGCAGCCAGCTCCTCCCAACCCTTGATGTTGGCCTCCATTTTCTTGAGGTTCAAAGTGTCCTTGTAGTATTTCCTCTGTCCATCACAAGATCTCAGGCCTCTACTAAGCTGACTCTAAGCACTGGCATCTCCTTGACTATTTTATGGTTAGAGCCAGTGATTGAATGGATCTCCATATCACATGAGCTATGCAAGGAACTGATGACTACTGGACATATTGCTGTCTTGTCAGCTTCATTGTGAACATCTAGCTTGCTCCAAAACACCAAAAGCAGACAAAAACAATGTGAAGAGCCCTCAACACCAAATCTCTTCAAGACTACAAAGGTCTGTAAGGATCTCCAACAATGTAGCCCCTACCTTCTTCTCTCAGCTGGCTTGTATCCAGTCATATCTTGTCTTACTAAGAGCTGGAATGCTGATGTGTCTCACTAGTTCCCTGCAGATGATGGGAATTCTTCTTTCTAGTCATTCATTATCTTGGTTATCTATCAAGATGAAAAAATTCTATGTTGTGAAAATTATTGTTATCTTATGATGTCTTTGACTGAGAGAGACTGATCTCGTTGGATGTGGGTATCCATCCAGGAGCATATAAGATAGCTGTGGTTTAGGGTAACTTTTCTAGCTCCTTTCCCACATAGGGTGAGCAGAGGGTAGCTTGAGTAAGACTGCTTAGTCAACCCAGGTGCAAGACGACCATCAGGCTACCACCACCTGCATGCAGATTTGTGTCTAGAGACTGCTGGATTCACTAGTCCCATCTCTGTCACCACTGGTCCATTGCCGCAGGGCTTTTGGAGGTTGGTGCAGGAGAGTGTGTTGTTTCCTATGGTAGAAGCTTATGTGACTTAGTTTATTTAATATGAGGAAGTTGCTATATGGAAACAATAACCACATAATTTTGACAAAGTGGAGATCTGGGCCCAGTAGCAAGGGATAAATTTAGGTGATGAGAGACCTCCATCTTGCTGCAGTTTTCTTCTGACTTGACAGTTGTTAAGATCCTAACATCATCATCCATCTGATCTGCAATTGAGGATTTGTAGTTGGACCATAGTTTGTCTGGAACCTCCCCTCAGGCCTGTTCACCATAGGTGATCCTGCCAGGAGTGTGAGACTCTGAGCAACATAGCTCTCAGATCACTGGGATAAACAAGTGTCTCCACCCCTACAAGGTCTCGGTACACAGAGAGGCACACATCCAAAAGTTCAGTAACATATATAAGCATATGCAATCTTCTTTTTGTGGTTTGTTGATTGAAATACATTGGAGAGATTATGAAAGCAGCCTTGCTCTTAGTAATCCAATTTCCCCTTATGTTCCCAACTGAAATCCAAACCTGTGGTCATGGGCAAAACTGGATGCAGACAAAAAAGAGGAGAAAAGCAAAGAAAACAACCACAATAAAAATGAACTGAACATTTTCAAATGTTCAAGGAAGTTTTGTTTTGCCTGTGCTTGACTTTTATTTGAAAAAGTGGGCTACCTTATGCAACCAGGTTGTCTTATGCTTGGTATGCACAAGGGAACACACAATTGCAAGAAGTTTGGGTATCCTTGAATACCAGTGATTTTGAAAAGCTGGTTGGAAATTGTAGCTGTAGTTCAGCCTTTTAAGTCTTTTCAAAGTGAATAATGCCCTTATCTTGAACAGCAGCATTTCTCAACCTGTGAGTCATGACCCAAAAGTGGGTTGCAAGAATATATGAAAGAGTTGCAAACAAACTTTAAAAATGGATAAACACACTTTAAAAATGGATTCTCCTTTAAAAGAGAAAACCGTGGGAATCCATGACTTTTACCTTCCAGGCTGGCAGAGTTCCAGCCTGCAAGGAGTTGCTTGAGGCTCCCCCATGTCCCAGACACAGCCATGCCCTACCCCACACTCTGGAGGATTGGGGCCTGGGGGAGGGGGCAGTGGGTCGGGAGTGAGGAGCACTGGGTTAGGACTGGCAATTGGTGTTTACAAGTGGGTCCTAGTACAAAAAAGGTTGCGAGCCACTGTTCTACAAGACCCTTTTTCACATTCAGTGACACTGATATGTGCATGCAAATGATACATTTTTTTTTCATGGGCATCTTAAGCACCATTCTTTAAAATGTGTCCCTTGTGAAGCAAATAATCAATTCACCATTCGTTAAATATGCATGCACATTGTTTCTGGAAAATTTCAGATTGTTGTTGCTTAATAGTTAGCTGTAACAGCATCCCCTTTGAGTAATTTGTTTTTCTTTTCTGTAATTTTAGGTGGAAAATGAAGAAGATGATGTAAAATCAGATTTCTACAATGATTTAATTCCTCTGAACTCTGAGTCTGCTTCAAGTAGTTCATCCTCGTCCTCTGGTAGAAGCTCTTCTGGGATCCCATTTCTTTTCTCGAAAAAGAAAAAAGTAAAAGTTACATCATCTTCCTCCTTCAAAGAAGCTATTGAAGCGTCCTATAAAAAGGTAGAATAAACAACCCTCCTAATTTTGTCCTTTCCTCTTATCTCCATCTGTTTAGTTAAGAGAATGATGGATATGTAAAAGGTCACATTTCATCATCAAGGTAGCACAAAAACCCTTTCAATGACAAATTACTGGGCTTGTGATAAAGGCAGTCGATACACAAGGCTGACATGGCTATCAAACCAGAATATTGCTGAATTAAAGGACAGGCAATTCTGTTTATTTGAGGTTCTTAAAGATCCTAATTTTCAAAACATAGGTTATCACCATAAATGGTGATATATTATAAGAGGAGCTTTATTTTGTAGCCCAAAAATACACTGAATTTGCACACAAATACAAATTTCCCTGCTTTACTTAGTATTTTTGCCAGAAAAGAAGCCTCACGGTAGATCTAATTGTACCTAAAGAAACGCATAGCACAACAATGATCGAATACTGTAAAAACATACCTGAGCTGAGAATAACCATTCAGGTAAAGCATTCCAACCTCAACCTAAACCCGGCCTTTGGTTCAAAAGCTCAGATACTATGGAAGAATCATTTAAAAGGTCTATTTTTTATTCTACACTGGAAGGAATCAAAACTTGAATTTTTTTCATTAAACTGAATTTTTCTTTTCTGGCTAGCTCTACTTCTAACTTTTTGGTTTGAGTAATCTGACCTATTTCCCCATCCTTTTATATGTCCCATAGATTTACTCTAAGCTCTCCCCAATTAAATAATAAATAACCCTTTCATCATTCTCTTTACTAAATATAAGGAAATCTGGGCAATGTCTAGTTTTGCAGGCAAAATTGGAATGTCTTGAAGGCCTTTCTGCTGTAAATTAATTGGTTAACATCTGCATAGCCCATTACATGATTTAAACTGCTTTATTGATGTTAAATATTTCCATTATTTCTTATCACTCAGCTCCTGTTGAGCCTATCATAATCATATACCGTTTGATTATATGGTCTGTTGGAATATGCCCAGAACATTTGGGGTCAGCAACTGCCTGATCCAAAATTCACTAAAGTCTATAGAAAGACTCATTTGGCTCTGAATCAGGCCCCCTAGAACCCATTTGATCTGCCAGATTTTATTGGAATATTTGGCAAAAGTCAACTGGATAAGATAGTCTGTGAATTACTCAGTTTAAGAAACCATTCTTCACAAAGGCATTTGATGTGCAGCAATTTTTTTGCTGCTTCTTCCATACGTGTCTGTTTCCAGAATGAATTAATAATATTCTAAAATGAAAAATGCCAACATTAGCATAAAAAAATAAAACATGTGGCTTATGCTGGGTTTTTTAAAAAATAAAATGCTTTGTCCCTAAAATGAAGTATATATTAATATATATTTTAATGTCTTCAATTAAGATAAAAGCTTCTTCCCTAAATATACTTCATGAAAAGAATCTGAGCAAACTTGTAGGATCCTGATAAGAATGTATCTGCTTGGGATTTTACATTTATAAAGAGTAAGCATACCCTTGCCAAAGGACTGACTATAATATTAGTTTATGAACTGCAGACAAGAAAGACAGAAACTGTCCCTAGGAGAGTCTAAAGTGTGTTTGCCTCCTTGGATAATCTATAATGGACTAAACAATTGACAGTTATTCCACAAAATGTGTGTAACCACTTTGTAAGTGCTTCCTATTATGCTTTTAATTGAATGTATGGCCAGGAGTTCCTGTGGTTGGGAGCCCTGTCAGCTGGTCAGAGCTCCCACCTGAGAGGTGGGCTTGGGCCCCTCCTGAGTCTGGGAGCTCCCAGCTGATGCTGGCTTCCCATTGTGAGAGCATGGGAGTCCCATGGGGCTTCCCACTGTGGCTTGGAGTCCCATCAGTTTACAGGACTCCCAGCTGTAGGGATGCCCTATGTATGCCTGTGGCTTGGGAGACAGCAGCTGATGTGAAGTCCCAGCCGCGGGGGTGCTCCATGAAACCCCACAGATGTGGGACCGCAACTGAGTCAACTGACCACAGCCAAGACACAGTGTCAGTTGTGGTCTCACAGCCCCTGGCGCATGAAGCATGCCTGCAGCTTGGACATTGCGTCAGTTGTGGTATCCCAGCTGCAGCTATGTCAGTAAGTCAGCTGTGGTCTCCCTGCCATGGGGATCCCTGGGAAGACCCCATGGCAGTTTCATAGCTTTTCATAGACATTTGGGCTGGTAGGGACCCCGGAGGATCATCGAGACTGGCCCCCCACCCCAGGGGCAGGAAGTCAGCACGGATCATAGGATCCCAGTAAGATAAGTGTCCATATGTGTTTTGAAGGCATTCAAAGTGAGCGCTTGAACCGCCTCCGGCAGCAGTCTGTTCCAAACCCTGGACAGTAAAGAAGTTCTTTTTTATGTCCAGCCTGAATCGGTCACAGCGGAGTTTGTGACCGTTCAATCTTGTCATCCCTTGGGGCACTCTGGTGAACAGTCATTCCCCCAGATCCCGATGAACACCCCTGATAAGCTTATAGTTGGCCACCAGATCACCCCTCAGCCTGTGCTTTTCCAGGCTGAATAGCCCCATAGCTCTCAGCGTCTCATCATAAGGTTTTCCTGACCTCTGATCATGTGCATGGCTGTCCTCTTCACCCTCTCAAATTTCTCCACATCCTTTTTGAATTGCGGAGCCCAAAACTGGATGCAGTACTCCAGCTGCAGCCTCACCAAGGCCGAGTACAGCGGGAGAAAGACGTCCCAGGATTTGCTTGAGAAGCATCTATGGATGCAAGCCAGCGTTTTGCTCACTTTACTAGCTGCAGCATCAGGCCTATAAGCATGGTGCAGGTTTTTCCTCCCAAGATGGAGAAACTTGCATTTTTCGGTGTTGAACACCATCAGGTTCTCGTCTGCCCATTTCATGAGTCTATCCAGATCTGCCTGGATCACCCTCCTGTCCTCAGGTGTGGTTGCTTTACCTCAGAGTTTGGTGTCATCGGCGAACTTGACCAGTCCGCTTCTGACACCAATGTCCACATCATTGATGAAGATGTTAAACAGTATAGGCCGTAGGACAGAGCCTTGTGGGACCCCACTGGTCACAGTGCACCAAGACGATTGGTTAGCCCAAGTCAGCTGATGAGGCTCCCAGCCTCAGGGCCCCATCAGTTGAGAGGGCTCCCAGCCATGGCAGCTTGCTTCTTGCCAGTGTAGGAGGATTGGGCTCCTCCTGCACTGGCAATAAGGTGTGATGGGATCAAATTCATGATCCCAGTCATACTCCCTGCCATGCATGTATGGCATGGCAGGAGGCCCAATCCTGTGGATCACACATTAGATCCCATTGTGCCTTTACCTGCCTGTGCAGAGGGGCCCTTATTGTTTCTCAAATGAATACTTTCCCTGAAGCTCTCAGTGAAATCTGACATTCTCAGCATAGCAGTGGTGAAGCTGACAGGATATCAGTTTTGCTGAGTATCCTGGATTCCTTAGAGTCAGGACTTCCAGGTTTCCTGTTGCATAGCCCAATTTGTAGCATACAGATTATGATGAACACATTCTCAGCTCTTCTACCTTTTGTCAGAAACTTAACTGTAACATTGCAGATTAGATTTGGGCCTCCTAAGGTGTTATAGCCAAGAGCCTGGGAGTTCTGGCATAGCTTGCTCTCCCAGAGTTGAACGCTTTGAAAATAATGTGTCCCTAGCCCTGGGACATTCCTTCTGGTTCCTTCTAAAGCTGCTAAGTGCAGAAGCATGGGTCCTCACATCTAGACAGTAGAATGTGAAAATAGCTGTGTACAAATGACAGCCTAGATACTTAAGTTGTTTATGGCTGGAGTGATAAATCACTTGTTCCTACGCTGCTTGACTTCTTCCCAACCTTTTCCCTGTCTTGTCTATTTATTGTATACATTCTTAAGGGCAGAGACTGCCTCCTTCTGAACTATGTAATGCCTAGCACAGCTGATATCAGATGAAATTCCTGAAAGTAGGCACTGTCATGATACAAACAAATTAAAAATGAGAAGACAATCGCCCTATTGACACATTGTACAATGAGCCATATTCTATCAAATCTAGCAATGTGCTTGTTGTCTCAAATGGATTAATCACTTGATTTTACTCAAGTTTAAATCAAGTGAAACATACCAGCCCATTTTGTAGTATACAACCGAGTATGAACATATTATTAGCTCTTCTACCTTTTGCCGTGAATCCAAGTGTAAAAACATTCTATTTCTCTTTGTTTTTTATTTATAGAATTCTAACTTTATTAGGGTCCATAAAGTGATTGCAGTTTCAAACTTCACAATGAAGGAGTCAGATCTACAGCTCTCTGATGTCTTTCTAAAGACACTTAACAATCTGCCTCTAGAGTATAACTATGCTTTATATAGCAGAATCTTTGATGACTTTGGAACTCATTACTATGCTTCTGGATCGATGGGTGGCACATATGACCTTCTTTATCAATACAGCTCTGAGGAATTGAAGAACTCAGGTATGTAACCTTTGGTGAGAAAAGCCCACGTGACAGGCAACAGTTTTTTCCTATCATTCTGCTAATAGTGCCTCTGAGGAATGCGCTGCTCCATATTTTCTGAGTTAAGATGCAATAGAATAATCCTTAATTTTTCTCAAAGTAAAAGGAATCTAACCCTGTAAACCATGGATGTCAAAGTTGCCTCAAGCCCTGAGCTGGATCTAAACTTTGAAGCTCATCCCAGGCTTGAGCCACAGGGCTAGCTGCTGCAATGTGGGTCCAGAGGCAATGGCAGGGTGTCTGGCAACACTGGGCCAAGTGGCAGTAACAGGGAGCTGGCAATGGCAGGACTGGGCAATTATGGGTCCTGACTCACTCCCCTTCCTCTGGCAGTCATGTCCAGCAGGGCTTGGGGGCCTCAAACTCTGCAATAGTCCATGCTTCCTCACCATACCCCCAAGTGCTGGGTCCAGCCAACAAGCTTCATGCTTGACACCTCAGTTGTAACTATGTACATATTTCTAGAACTTAGAAGGGAAGTAATAGCTTTGGCATCTCCTGTGGTCTTCAGCTCAAGACCAGATGCTTTTCTGGAAGAGACCCTTCTGTCAGGACGGAGTTACATATTACACTCAGACCATACTAAATCTGTAGAAATTTAAGTGGTATTAAAGACAGAATGTGCTGTGAGAAATCACATGTTAGAGGTTAATACTGTTTCCTGCCTACACAGCTCTGACTTGCCACTAGAGGGCTGGTGAGCAAGGACGTGGCTAGGAGCCAGGATGCCTGGGCTGTGTCTCTGTTCTAGGTTGGCCACGGCTGAGAGTAATGAATCCTAAGATCCTGGAGAACTTCAGATTGCTTGTTTTATCTCCATGAAGCCAACTAAAGTTACCCTAACATGAGCTAGGTAGCACAGCCCAGAGTTAACTCTTCTCTGAAGTGTTATAACTTTGAGATGCGCAGAAGACACTTAGAATGAATTAATGAGCTTTAACTTATGGATGCTCACAATTTAAATCCCATTAGTATGGTCTGAGCGTAACATGTAAGTTCAACCTCAGACACAAGTTTTTGATCCAAAAACAGGCATAACTAGGTAAAATGTTATGCTCTATATTATACCAGAGGTCATATGAAAGATTCTAGTGGTGCCTTCTAGCCTTAAAACTAAAAGTGTAAGAGAATTATTAGAGATCACAGTTGCCAGCAAAATTCTTAGTAGGATAATCAAATCATTTAATAGGAAAGAACCATTCTACAAAAATGGAAACCTAAACCTATTTGGTTAAGAGCTGTCATTCACAGTTGTAGTTGGATATGTTATGGGTATTGTTTATTAGTATAGTGTAAAAAGAAGGGTAAAGGATGTATCCGCAGCATCAGTAGATCCTTAAAAGGATTTGGCAAATATGACTCTGTCCAATGCTGTTGATACATGGGGAATAGAGTGGGGTCCATTCTGGGCTGAAGGCAGTAACTCAACACCAAAGTATCCCATAGATACTGAAGTATCCCATACAGCAGTATATTGTGGGGACAGTAATATAGCAAAGGATGGTGCATCCTTCTATCAGCAATATCACTAGGGTCCCATCCCCAGTTACCCAAAACACACTATTATGCAGCAGATGACTTGTTGGCCAGGGCACAGTGTGATATGAACATAGCTATATTGCTTCCAGATCAGGAGCTGCCACAGACTGCAACTTCTCATGGGTCCTTACTCAGAAGAATTATAGCTGTATTTCCCTGATGCCAGGCAGCATTGTGTTGTCTCACTTGCTAAATTCAACAGCAAAATCCCTGGCATCAATTTTTTTCAGTTCCAGACATGTAGCCTTTCAGGATACCAAGACATCTGTGATATTTGGGACTGCCCCTGAAAATTCAGGACAGTTGGTTGTTTTAACAATTATGCCCTATAGAACAGAAAGCGTTTGATAGGAGTAGATTTGGCCTACTATGCCTTGCAGAGGATTTGAATAAGTAAGCAGTCCTCTTGCATGCTAGTAGCTGGAGGGGAGAGGCCAAGGACATTATAAGGGGTGGCATGGAAAAACTGCCCAAAAGCAATGGGAGAAGTATAGAAAGCAAGCTGAGGATGGGAGATTGTGAGAAGTGGGAGAGGAGGAGGAGGACCATGAAGGAAAAGCTGTTGGCTGCAGCAAACTTTCAGAAGCAGGATGAGAAGGTCGAACCTGATGTGGAAGGTTGAAAGAAATGAATGAGATGTTTAACCTGAAGAATGCTGTGACTTGCATGACTGCAATAGACTGGGTAGGTGTGTGTGTGTGTGTGTGTGTGTGTGTGTGTGTGTGGAGGGGGGTGATATGGATTCTGGTGATGCTGCTCAATGTTTTAATGTTTTTGCTGTTTGATATTATCTAGGTTTGACAACACAACAATCAAATGAATGTGTTCGGACAGAAACAACTAGGCGTGTGTTTTTCAGAAAGAAAAAGAAAGTACATACTACCTGCACCACAAATAGACTGACTGAACACCATGAAGGTGAATGTACAGTTAGGTACTGGTTGAGGTAGTGTCTATACCCTTAGCTGTCAGCAGTCAGGCATGCAGGGTGAAATCCTGGCTCTACTGAAATCACTGGCAGAACTCCCAACAACTTGGGGAGGAAGCAGGGCAGGTTTTCACTTTTTATATTCTAAGTCAGGCATTGAGTCCATTCTACAGAGTACACCAAAAAAAAAATACTATGACCCAAAAGCTCCTCCCTGATTTACACTGGCCTATCTTCCCCTGGCAAGGAAGTTCCATGCGTGTGTAAAACCAGTATACCTATCTAACCACAAAGGCTCTTCATGGTCAGCCCAGTTTCATGAAAGTCACATAAGTATTAGTCTGTCTCCCACTGTGAGGACAAACCTCCCACTGACAAGCCTCCCATTTCCAGGGAGAACAAAATGACTGACAGGTATAACTTCATGTCTCTGCAACATAACTTGGCATTTCTGTGCCACCAGCAAACCACTTATTATCTTAGAAAGAAAAGCCTTGGTATTTATGAGCAATAGGAAAGTCGTGATTATGTCTGAAAAATCTTAATTGAAGCCCTATTTCAGGTTCTATGTTGCAGTCAGCTGAACGATCTATTTCACTAGTGAAAGGTGGCAGGACAGAATATGCTGCAGCTCTGGCTTGGGAGAAAAAGGGGTCTTTTCCAGAGCATATTGTATTCACAAACTGGCTGGAATCAACAAAGGACAATCCTGTTGTGGTTGATTTTGAGGTAAGAGTAGAGACAATCCCCTGCATCTCACATGATGCCACATGACCTTCTGATTTGTATTTACACCATCCTGCTGGATATGTCTTTAGGAATATATATATAAGGCCCTAAATGTATTAGTCCCTAAGACTAGTTAAGATGACAGGATCATTACTGGTAATATAGATGAATGGATTTTTTCCTACCCCTCTGGCTCATGTTCAGCACCGTGCACCTAGAAAAGTAGTGCTCAATCTTTTTGCCCCACAGCCCAGTGTGTCTGCAGGCTGGATGTGGCTGGTGGACATGATCTGGCACATGGGGCAGACAGAGCAGGAAACCAAGCCAGCTGTTTGGAGCAGGGGGCAAGTTGTGCGGGGGACAGGAGCAGACTCCCAGGCCCTGGCCCTGGCTTGTCTTCGCATATGAGAAAGGGCTTGGCACAAGGGAGGAGGCATGGCTCAGCCCAATCTAGCCACATGGATGGGGAGTGGGCATGGCCCAGCCCTGACCCTCCCAGGCAGGGATTGAGAATTTGGCGGCAAGGGGATGATGAGTGGCACTGCTAATTGCTCCCCGGCCGCCAAATTTCCCAACCTGTGGGGAGCTCTGCAGGATGGATTTGGCCCATGGGTCAGGGGTGGAGCACCCTAACCACAGAGTATAGCTATATAGGCCATGGTGTTTATAAAAATTTCTTTTGGTTATGTTGGGGCTATGTAGCTGTCCATAGGAAGAAGTTAATACAGCTGTACTGCAAGGAAATGCCCACTTCATCTTCTGTATTATGATCCCTTTCCATATCCTTTTCTTTCAGTTGTCTCCCATCCTGGACTTGGTAAAAAACTTCCCATGTGCTGTTACTAAACGCCGCAACCTCTGGAGAGCCCTAATTGAATACATGGACCGATTTGACCCTTGTAAATGTGCTCCCTGTCCCAATAATGGCAAACCTGTGTTATCTGGAACAGAGTGTCTGTGTGTGTGTCAAGCTGGAACCTATGGGAATAACTGTGAGAAACGAGCACCAGATTACAAATCAGGTATTTATGGGAATATTGTAACAATGCAAATCTGATCCTTTCTTAAACCCACACAACCACATGAACAACTGGTGCTTCTGAGGACTGGGGTGGGACAGTGACCCCCCACAGACAGTAGCAGCGGCAGGAGTGGGTTCAGTGGGGACCACCCACAGGTGTCAGCAGCAATGTCGGGAGGCAGGGGCAGGCCCAACAGGGACCGCCCACAGGCAGTGTCAGTGGCGTCAGCAGTGGGGGGGGGGAGGTAGCAAGTGATGACCCGCAGGCAGTAGTGGTGGTGTTGGCAGCAGCCAAATTTGGGGGGGGGCACCAGCACTCTCGGGGGGGCACATGCTCTCCCCCCACCCATGCACCCTCTACATGTCGCTTAGGCACACAACTGCTTTAATGTAAAAGCTGAAGAGCGGGTCTGACTGTGGTATCTTTACACTGTGAGAAGTGTCAACATTTTGAATTTTTTATATTGTTTTCATTCCACACAGTATGAAAAATTACAATTCCAGTATCCAATAGGTGAAGCTTCTTGAGTGTCATTTAAAAAATCAGACTAACATTTTATTTTGCCCTTATGAAAATACTTGATAAGATCTGAATAATTTCACTGTGTTCCTACTTTATCATAGAACCATAGAGAAGTAAGGCTGGAAGTGACATCCAGAGGTCATCTAAACTAGCCCCCCTACCTGAGGCAGCATCATCTCTGTTAAAACCATCCCATATAAATCCATTTTCTAACCTCTTAGCAAAACGTCAGTCAGCCCTGACACAAAACCAAAGGCATAACACTGTAATTTGCTACAGGTAAAGCAGGGGGACCATGGTGGCCAACATCCTGCTACTGCAAATGTTAATATATGCTTGAGAGATCCCAGGAAAAGGATCACACCCCCCAATACAGAGAAAGGCAAAAATCCCCACAGGACATACCAGTCTGACCATAGGGTGAAATTCCTTCCTGACCCTAAATATAGTGAGTGATTGGTCTGACCCTGAGTTGAGGGCCAAGACCCTCTAGCCAGGAACCTCCAGATGTAAGTCGCACCAAGAACACTATCACACTGCAGTCAAAATTCCTGTCTTTGGCGGCAGCCAACACCTAATACCTTTGAGGAAGGCTTTAAAATAATAATAGAAATAATAATAATAGTAATAATAATAATAAAAACAGACATGTAGCAACAGAGGGAGGAAAAATCCCTCCCATCCCTATGTGGCTTCCAGCAAAACCCAGAAGCATGTGAAATACCTATAGAAGAACATAGGCACAACTACTTCTAGATCATCCCTGACTGGGACTTACCACTCTCTCTTGAACACCAACGATGCCACGTGGACAACTTCCCTAGGCAGCCTATTCTACTTCATTGTTCTAACAGTGAAGAAGTTTTTCCTGAGATCCTACTTTGCTGCATCTTCAAGCCATTATTCTACATCCTACACTCTGCAGCAGGAGAGAGAAGGTGCTTTTCCTCTTGTTGATGTATTTGAAAAATGCTATCATGTCCCCTCTTAAGTGCTGTTTCTAAAAGATGAATGTGTCTAGTTCCTTCAACTTCTCCTTGTATGACGGGCCTTCCAAGCCCTTTTTCTTTTTTGTCACACATCTCTGGACCATCTACAACTTCTACATGTCCTTTTAAAAATGTGGAGCCCAAAACTGCATATAATATTCTAGATGAGTGCTAAGTAGAGAGGCATTATCACCTCCTATGTCTTTTATCTATACATCCCCAAAGTGCATTTGTCTGTTGTGTGGCTGAATCACATTGCAGACATGTGTTGACTGTGTGATTTATGAAGATTCCCAGATCCTTCTCCATAGTTCTGCCATTCATCCAGAAGTCACATACTTTGTATTTTTATTTATGATTATTCTTCCCAAGGTATAGCACCTTGCATTTGTCAATATTGAATTTCATTCTGTTAACTCCAACCTTGCAGTCCAATCTGTCAAGATCCTTTTGAATCATGGTGCCATTCTGCAGTGTGTTTGCAACTCTACTTAGTTTCATATCATCTTCAAACTTGCTCAAGAATCTTTCTATGCCAGCAACCAAATCGTTAATAAACATATTAAACATGTCCTGAGCCCATAAACATGGGCCCAGGAATGACCCCTGTGGGACTAACTTAAAAATCTCCTGCCATCTGAACATTAATCCATTTATAATTGCCCTTTGCTTGCAGCTATTGAGCCAGTTGTCTCTCCTCTTTATAGTAATTTTGTCCAGCCCGCATTTCTTCAATTTGTTTATAAGAAGTCATATGGGACTGTAGCAGGGCACTAAGGTGTCTGCTACCTGAAAAGCAGCAGAATGGGTTCAGGTGTTGGTTGCTAGGGGCAACCAGGAAGAGCTAAGGGCCCACACCTGGTGAGTCAGCTGACCGGAAGGGGCAGGGCCGACTACTGTAAAACCCAGACTGGAGGCTGTGAGTGCCTTCTCTCTGCTGGAAGCCAGGAAGAAGTACTGCCTGACTAAGGGAAAGAGATCGGCCCTGAATGTGGGAAAGAGAATAATGCCTGAATGTACCAGCTGCTAGTTACACGGCTGAGAGATGTGGTGTGGTTTGGAGAACGGTTAGTCAGGAGGTTTAGCTTTGTGTTATAGCCCAGGGGCCTGTGTTATTGTTTTTTGCTGTTGTTTTGACCGGAGGACTGGGTGAGGCTATTAGGGGTTGGAGGAGGCCTCATAGGGGCTCCATAGTAGCGTGGGGACCCTGGTGCCAGAGAGGGCACAACATTCAGGGGTGTGCGGGCCCCAGCGCTGAGAAGGGGAATAGAGGATTGGGGGCCAGGTAAGGCTGAGGCCGCCTGAGCCCCACAGGAGGTTTAAGACCCAAGGAGGGGATTTGGGGGCCAGGCACGGCTACGGCCACCTGAGCCCCAGAGTGGGCTGTTGCAAGAAGCCCTGGGTGGGGGCAGAGATTGACGAGTGCCAGAGAACATGGTTGCGAGGCAAGCCAGAAGCACCCATGGGGCGCGGACAGTGAAATCGACCAAACAATGTCCAGTACATCTGCGAGGCTTGGGGCGTGGTACAGGCAGTAAACCTAAGGGGCCTTGGGGGCTGGGTAGTCAGCCCAGGAGCATCTGCAGGCCAGAAGCTAGCCAGCCGGGGAAGGCTATCAAGTAAAGGGACTGCTTGCCTACCTACTGGCATGCTGATGAATAATCTGGTAGTAAACAAAGCAAACAGCCTTGATCACTATTGGCTGATAGAAAATGGTCAAATATTCCATGATAGAACCAGCTTTAGTTAAAAATTCTTCTAGGATCGTGCTGAATTCATCAGATCCATATTTTGAAAATGTATTTAGGGAGTGCAATTCTATATAGTGAATGTGTATTTAACTCTATGTATACACATGTACATTATGTATTTAATGTTTACTAAGTATTAATCCAGGAATTTTAACTTTTGGTTTGTATGAATAGCATATTTACAAGGAAATGCTTTTTCACACCATGTTTCTTTAGTATCTATTGTAATAATTATAAAATATGGGGACAGAATCAGTTTACTTATGTAGGGTTCATGCCAAAGGAAGAGGTCCAATTTGACTGGGTTTAGACATCCTGTTTCCCTATTAGGCTATGGGATTCTTATTCACCTCTGAAGTGTGATCTAGAAATCCAAGAGCCACCTAGAACTAGACAATAAATACTAATGTCATAGGTATGTCCAAATTGCAACTCCTCCAGAATATCCACCCATTGTCGAAGAATCCAAAGCCTTCAGGTTGAGAGCCTCATAGTTGCCTTTGATCTTCCTGGAAGTATCATTGATGCCAACATAGACAATCAGGAAAGGGTAGTGGTCTGAGGGATAGATGAGCTTTGGCAGTCTCTTTATGACAGTTTAGGCATCTGACTCCAGTTGCACATTAGGGTGCTGACAGAAGTGAAAATTTTCCCTCGATTTGGCCACAGAAAGTGGTCTGTTACCATAACCAAACACAAGTGCATCGTTGCAAACCACTTCAAAAATGGCCAGTCAGGTGAAAATCTGAACCCATATTGCATGAAGGTTCATATGAAGATGTTTCAAAATATAGGAACTTCTGTAACTTCTGTCTGAGCTGCCTGCCAGCCTGTCACTGTTTTCAGAATGAGAGTGGGAAAGGGAATGGGGGGAGTTCAGTCTGGGGGGTTTTCAGCCCTCACTGGAGGGTGGAGCAGGTGTATTGGGCCCCCCCACTCTGAGGTCAGGGGGCTCCAGTACACGCAACCCAGCCTCCACTGCTAGCTTTGGATTCCCTAGAATGAGTTCCCCCTCACATCTTGAAAACAGCATAGGCTGGGAGGGAGCAGGGGCATTGCCAGGGAAACTGGCTGCAGGGTCCCAGTCAGCAGCTAGATTCCCCTCCCCCCTGAAACCAACAGTGAACTTCTGTTTGGTCTGGGAGATCTTGTAACTCAGAACACTTCCTACAAAGCATTTTCAGTTATAGCAGGAAGCTGCACTTTTGTCTGCACCCTTAGATGCCATTATTTAGTTGGGATCCAGAACATGTGCTCCTGCTACTGAAGGTAGGTGCCTTACCAACACTGAGGCCTACCTTTGCACAGTAGTTTAATGATTAAATCAGTCACCCAAGATCTAGAACTGATACTCTCCCACTTCTTGGGTGAGTACTTAAACCAGGAAGCAACTGTGCAAAAAGTGAATAGCCCCACAACTGATGTGTTTGAGCAGAACTCAGTGCTGTTGATGGGGGTTAAGTCTAAATCTAGGTATCTAGGGAAACTCATAGTTAGGCACCTACATAATTTGTGGGGTCTGCCCCCCCAAGTCTGTGGTGTCAGTGTGGCCACAGTCGCCATTTTTTGGCATGACAGCCTCCCCTCCCCCACCATACCTCTGGCCAAGGTGCCCCAGAAGTCCCACCCCTCCCTGGAGATTAACAGATGGCCATCAGTCAATCTCCAGGGAGAGGTGGGACTTCTGGGGGCCCTCAGCCAATCAGAGGCATGAGGTACCCTGCCACACTTCACCATGAAAATCATCCCATCCCTCCCTCACTTTTCCCCCTGTGCTTCAGGACACCAGGCTTCCCAAATCTGTTTTCAGCTCCTTTTTTCCCTCCTGCTTGCTGGCCACTTTCCAGCTTTTTTGCAGTCCCTGCACATTTTCATGGGGATCAGGCTTTTTCACAGTGGACCCACCAAATTCACAGTTTCTGCAAAAATCACAAAATTGCGAATTTAGTAGGTCCCTACTTATAGTAACATCTGAGTTTAAGCACCTATTCAATTTTGTGTCTGTTGGAGCAGGGATAATCTGGATTACACTTTGGAGTTTAGATGCCTAGTTCCTTATTTAAGTGCTTATTTGCTCAAAAGAGTTCTGATCTAGAATATCTAGAAAATAGACACTTGGGCTGCCTGCAAAGGTGGGGAAAAAAAAATCAAACAGTATTTTAGTTTAAACTGGTGTGCCCAGAAGAGACAGCACCTTAGTTGTACCTGGCTTTCTTAACATCTGTATAAATTGGGTGCTTTAGTGGGGCTATTTTGGTGCTTCTATCTAATAGCTGATTCAATCATCTATTAGATAAAAGCATCAAAAACCCTGCTGACATATCCAATCTAGTCCAATCCAACTCTGCAGCATCTGTATAATGTGCTACTGCTTCCAGTAAAGCACAGTTTTGTTTTTTCTTTTTCCATGTCTGTCAGCACCCTTGGTTTTGAATGTGACCTGAATCCAAATTGTAAGGGAAAGAATAGCCTGACTTCCCTGAGGTTCAAAGCAGTTCAGATTTGGTTTTGGCTCATCTCATCTTTAAATTTAATATTTTATAAACAACATGTTCCCCTGCCTGGTAAACCTCATAAATCCTCTGAAATAGTGACAATTAAGCGCTATCCAAACTACCTAGTTGGGCCAATACAAAAATATCACCCTAAAAAATTCTTGCCTCTCAATTAATTAAGCTGGTATATACAAAGTAAGGAAGTATTGCAGATTCATTCATTTGCTAGAGTTTACATTCATCTGTTCCAGTTGCAGTAGATGGCCACTGGAGTTGCTGGTCAGCATGGAGCCCATGTGATGGGTCTTTCAAGAGAAGAAGGACCCGTATGTGTAACAACCCATCACCAATGAATGGAGGAAAGCCTTGTGAGGGTGAACATGAGCAAGAGGAGGACTGTTATGTTTCATTGTTTGTGGACAAGTAAGAAGATGATAGGTGGAAAATTCTTCTTACTAGTGGGGTGCGGGTTAGAAAGCTTTCAAAACTTGACTAGGGATAAATTTCTTGTCTGGGTTTCTTTGGCTGAGTCTGAAAGAGGAAAATATCTGTAAATCTTTGCAATTTGTTATAACTTTTGTTTTTGTTTGCATTTTCTTATCAGGGAATTCCAAAAGAAGTATCGTATACTTATTTTAAAATATTTTGTATGGGTCTCTGACTGAGAATCTTCATTAATTTCTCTTCATCATCTTTATACAACTTCTTTCCCACTTCTGAACCACATAAGTCTAAATAGCAATGCTTCCTTTCTATGTGCTTTAGGTTTGAATTTGAAATCTCAAAGATAAATTCACTGACAAAAAACTGAGTTTTATTTGGTACTGCTTTGCAACACTGTGAAACAGAATTTTTAGAAGGTTTTAATGTAAAATGTTAACTGCAAGCCAAAACCACCCTCACTTTCTTATTTGAGGGTTGTGTGGAAATGATGAACATAGCCATAATTCATTACAGCGATAGCTCCTCTTGTGGCAAAAACAGTGGATACTATAAGACTAGTTATTTTATTTCTGTTGTGATTAATATAGAGCATATTCTTTTTGAGAGTCTTGGACATGAGCACTTTAGTTCTACATGGTGCTCTCCCTCCCTGACTAAGCACCACAACCTGTACAACCCTACATCTATAACATACAGTGCACATTTAACCAGTGCTGGTATTAACAGGCAAAAGTTAACCTATACTACCTATGACCTACCCAAACTGTGATGAACCCTAAATTCTGGCTGAACCACTTAAACTTACAGTCATTGCTAAAAAAGGCAGCCCAACGTACCATCTTTTTTGCCCCAGCTCTTCTAATCTATTATGTCAAATTCTCTGGTGGTCTGGAGAACTTATGCTGATACAAAATCTTCTTTCCTATAATGCTTACTGTTGATCAGGCTCCTTTTGGTACATAGGTTAATGAAGAAGTTGACGGGAAAGGACCACAGTACTGCTCCACTTTTTTGGTTTGGGTGAACTGTGCTCACTGCTAGCTCCTCTTCCTCTTTGGCTAATGCTGTGAGAGTTTACCCTCTTGTTTCTGAAACCAGTGCCTCATACGCATCCTAAACTGCAAATTATTGTTTTTCAGAGGGGCTCCATGTATAAATGATGATGAAGCAAGGAAGGAAGTGGATGTTTTCATTGGTGAACCTGAATCTGGATGTTCTAAGCCAGTCCCACCAGAAAATGGATTTATCAGGGTGAGAGGGCTGTACCATGTAAAATATGTGAATGATAGGGCATGTGGGAGCTCTGGGAACTTCCAAGGTTACCAATCTACAGAACTTCTGTTTTTGGATTCACAAACCTAGTTCATCCACAGATTATACTGTGATTTCATCCATGTCATGACACCTTGCACCAACTAGAAAACACCATTCTGTCTTAATTAATGACAATGTTTTCTAGATAGTCAGAAGCTAGAATTATTGCACATCTGCGAGGGGCAAGCAGGGGAGTGTATGCTTAGGAGCAACCAACATGGGTTCATTAGAGGCAGGTCCTGTCAGACCAAC